ATGTGAACAGGTGCACATGTGAACAGGTGCACATGTGAACAGGTGCATATGTGAACGTCTGAACATGTTCACATGTGAACAGGTACACATCTGAACAGGTGCATATGTAAACAGGTGCACATGTGAACAGGTGCACATATGAACATGTGCACATGTGAACAGGTGTATATGTGAACAGGTGCACATATGAACAGGTGCACGTGTGAACAGGTGTATATGTGAACGTCTGAACATGTGAACAGGTGCACATCTGAACAGGTGCACATGTGAACAAGTGCGCATGTTATTTGAAGTCTTAATGTTTTTCTTGGATTCCCCCCTGGGATTAATGAAGTATGTAACATACGATACGCCGAGTTCAGGGTAGAAAGTCCCCCCTTCAGGGCGCACGGCCCGGTTGTACTTCACAAGACGGAAGGCGTCGACTCTCGCTGACGTTCTTCTTGTCAGTTTATGCTCAAAGAGAAACTGCAGCAGATTCTCAGCTACAATCAACCGAGCGGCGTTTCGTAGAGTCGGTGTCCGTGTTCACGTCATGATGCAGGACGATCCCGAGGGGTTCTTTCGTAAAAATGTCACCGTTTCTGACTGACGGAGCGGGAACGTGTCCCCACGCTGTCCTGACGAGACGCAGTCCCTCCTGTCTCCTCCGTCCACAGAGCTTTCCTCTTCCGCACGTTCCTCAACTGTTAACTGTTTATTTTTAGTAGTTTTGTTGCAACAGCAGTAAAGTCGTCTGTCTTTTCTAACGGCTTCGGCCAGCTGCTCCTCAGCGGAGCAGTTTAAGAGAAACGAGGATTTTTGTTTGTTTGTTTTCGCTCAAACACCCGTGAAGTTGTGACCAATCACTTGGACGCGGTGTAAGAAGAAAAAGACGCACGTTGCGTCACAAAATCACGTCAGCTCGACGCAACGTTTGGCGCTTCTGATGAAGTATAATCCTGCCTTTAGTATTTTAACGCAGACTTGAAACAAATATTTCAAAGCTACTGGAACAACGGGCTGCTAGTTGGACTGAACCGGAACTCACGACCCGGAAGGTGAAACGTAAACCCTGCGCTGCGAAGAGACGACTTTAGATCAGTGAAGACATTTGCACAAAGTTCAGGGTTCAGGAACACAAAACAAAACGTCTCTGTGAATGTAGTGAAGTTTACTAAAGTTTACTAAAGTTTACTAAATCATCAAGAAGCTTGAATTATTATTTTCCTGTAATATTCACTGCCTGATCTGACTCGAACAACAAATACACCTTTGAGGACGTCTCACCCACAGATCATAAGAGCAACGCTTGTTTACACTGATTTTATCAAAGATTTAATTTGTTTACCCGAAAAACTTTGTGAACTTGCCGAAACGGGTTTTGTATGTTTTTTTTTTTCAGATGAAGCCACGATCGACTTCTTTGTATTTCCAAACAGCGTTTAGAGCAGGATCAGTATCGACCAGCTCCGAGCGTAAAACAACACCCAGACACTGACTCGCTGTCTGCTGAGCTGTACGGAAGCCTGAAACGGACAAAATCAAGATTACTTTTAATGCATGAATAAATAAACTAATTAAAATAAAATAAAAAAAACTTCTAAAATGCCAATACAATCTATTAAATGTATTTTAGTGTCACCATCAATTTTATTTTTTAGCAAGCACTAAGAATTTTGATCATAGCAGTGAGTGTGTTAGTTTATCTGTTAGCATAATATCTCATGAACCACTGGTCTGATGTTAACCAAACTCAGTGTTGTCATTATTTGTACAGCTACAACCAAAGTTGATCGACACACCTGAGCTACGACTCAGTCTAACAAATGTCGACCTGTGTTTTAGTGTGGTAGTAGCCGAGGGTCGCCCCCAGTTCAGCTCTGAGCTCTCGCCTCGAGGCTCAAAAGACAAAATAAAAAGTATTTCTTTAAAGTGCGTAACGCCTGACAACTAGCATGCCAAGGTTTAAAATGTCACGGTTGTGCGCTCCGTTAGCCCTCGGGGTATGTGCTGGGGATGACTCTCAGCTACTACCGCTCCTAATTTCAGCTCAGTATCTGTAAACTTGCAGAGTCGTTGCCATGTTTGTGTTTGCTAATGTTGATTCTCTTCAAGTGAATTCACCTCCAAGTTTAATTCAGTAGTTATTATCCAATAGACTGATTAATATCCGTTCAGTTTGAAATATTTTGCTAACAGTTTGAACAATCACAGTATCGTGATCAAAAGAAACAAAATGAAGGAGATTTATAGAAGTAAAATCATGTTTACTTGTTTTATGCACGGTGACGTTAATAGGAAGATCTGAGTAAGATGAGTCAAACATGAACGAATAAGTTTGACTCGCTTCTTACTTTTAGGGTCGTGGGGGTCACTGGTGTCACTGGTGTCACTGGGATCTGTATCCAGCAGTCACTGCGTGAGGGGCGGGGGACACCTGGACAGGTGTCAAACACAGAGATAAACAAGCATCCGCACCTAGGGACAAATTAGAGTTACCAATTAACCTTTTGGTCTCGGAGAAAAAACACCAAGAAAGGTCCCGGCCAGGAATTGATCCGGTAACCTTCTCAGCTGCCACGCCACCGTGCCGCTCGTTTCAAGAAAATAAACGGGAAAATGTAAAATTACGTCACAAATATTATTTAAATATTACTAATTTTATTTTTTGGCGTAACTCCAATTTCTTTGCACGTTCAAATATATTTTAGGTCGGACAGTTTTTTGTTTTTTTTTCCTGATTTTGTCCCTTTCGGTGTTCCATACTTTTCCCCCCCCAGTAGTTAAAGTTAGAGCTGCTTTATGTGAACAGTTTACTGAGAGGTTCTCGTTGCAAAGTATAAAATCAAGCAGAACCACAGAAATGAAAGCACTTTCAGTTTACGAGTTGGTGAAATGAATCCTGAGGCCCGGGGTCCGCGCTCGATGTCAACAAAGCACTTGTCTGGCTTTAACGACGCTTCCGTACGAGGAACACGTGTAGATTTAATTTGTTTTTCCCTTCGTGGCTTCGTAACGAGTCCCTCTAACGTAGTTTTGTCTCGTGGTGGGACACAGGAAGGAGTTTTAGTTTGGCGGGGCTCTGGACTTGAAGCGGCACGTTTACACGCTGGCGAACCGTCTCGGGCTGCGGAGCACGAACACACCCGGGTCAGAACTCAGGACGGGTCAGAACCAGGATGTGGCCCCGCAGAACTGGCCCCGACCACGTTCCGTGTTTCCACCAACTTCTGTACAAACCGTCGGCTTCGGCCTTTGCTGTTCTGCAGCTTGGATGTGACGCCCCCCCACTCGGCCTCCTCGCCCGCCCCTCCCCAGTGTGTGTCTGTGTGCCTCCCCCGTGTTCCTCTGCACATGCATGATGAATCCCGTGTTGGTCTTAGCAGCATGATGGACGTGTTTTATGTTTAGAAGAAAAACCCACGGCCGTCTGTCGGAAGGAGAGGCCGCGCCGCCGTGTGCGAGCAGCCGCTCTGCTCATCCTGTTTGTTTGTTTGTTTGTTTGTTTGTTTGTTGACAGTTAATGTTTCTGTGTCTGTTGTTAGTGTCCCCCCCCCCCACCCATGTCAATGTGTCTTTCTGTGATGATGAAAACTGAATCTTTGTAAAAGAAACAATGACTTATGAGTTATTCTAACATCATGTGATGAACAGGAACATTTATTCTGTATTCTAATGAATTTATTTTCTTTTTGTATAAAATGCAAAAAAAAAAAGTTCTTGTTTATAAAAACATGGCATGACATGTAACGTGTTACTGACTGCAGGTCTTTAATCAAGTGAAGTGAAATATAGTTTATTTATTTTAAAGGTGTGACGTGTCGTCGTCTTTATTCATCGAAATGAAAACGCTCGTTAGAGTCGGCGTGGAACAACAACAGAAACTTAACAAAAATAAGTTCAATGGAAGTTTAACAAAAACAACACGATGGAAGAAAAAACATGTTTATTTCAGTGCTGGCTGGGCAACGGATTAGCTCCAAATCTATAGTTTATAATAATAAATGTTGCAGTTTGATTCATCAGACAACAAGTAGTTTCCCTGAGATGAGTCTCGGTTGTTCTGGAAACGGTTATGAGACGATACGAGAGCATCGATTCTGTTGGAACAAATGCAGAACTCAGATGAGCAGGAGGTTTACACAGAACCGTGGCGCTTTCTTCTGTTTGGTCCGGAAGAACCTTTTTATGCCATGCTCACATGCGCATTCATTCATATTTATTTCAAAATGTTCCTGTGATTCAATTACCTGATAATTTACAGAAGAGACAATTGAATTTTTTAAACAGAAAGTTTTTAATTATCTTTTTTTTCCTGGGTCAGTACTCTCAAACGTAAAACCATTCCACTAGGCTTTATGTCCAAGTCTTAAAACATTAGAACATAATCGAACCACGGTGGCCCCAAACAAAGTGACATTTTGACTTTTTTAACTATTTTCAACAAGCTCAGATATATCACTTAAAACACAGAATGAAAGAGTTAAAGTGCTTTATTAGTGACTTTTATTTAAAACGGCTGGCATCATGCACAATAAATTAAAAAATACACAGTACTGTAAATAAACTTCTAAAAAGGAAGTGGCCTCCCCGCGCTGTGGCCTGTTTTACACACTCCGGTCCAGCAGGTGGCGCTAAAGATCCCCGCGCTGTGGCCTGTTTTACAC